TCCAGAAAAGCATTTCATCTCTAGCCTGGGAGAACTGATTTGATCAATTTAAACAGGTAGCTAACTAAGTGTATCTCTAGTTTAGTACGTTGTTAGGCTGAAATTTTTAGTTTCTCTCTGTGATTGTCAGGGCACTTTGTGTTCACTGCAAGTCACTCCTAGTGTTCCCACTTGAGGATTTCAAGGAAGTAAAAAATCTTCTTTTAAGCCTTGATACCATTAGCACATTCTTTGCTCATTATTACCTGTAACATTCCTCCTCATCAGTGAGTCACCAATAGGCCTACACACAGGCCAATCTGTAAAGTGCAAAAAGTTATTTTATAGCTGAGAGCATTCGTAGTATAGACTTTATTATGGCAGGAAGGCAAGCGCAAAACACAATTTAACCTTAGTTTGGTTCTTAGTTCTGGAAGGTTCTTTTAGGATACCCAAGTTGAATACCCAAGTTAGTCAAATCCTGTGAGAAATCTGCCTCCTCTTCCTTACATCTGTTGTATTTTCACCATGAGTCTCAGAGTATTACTGGGGATCTTAGCTAGCTAGCTCAAATTCAAAGAACTAGATTCTTTACCTTAGTTCTTTCCCACATTTTGCTCTCCAGGTCCCCATTCTACAAGAACTCCAAGACTAATTCTGCCTTCAATTTTCTTGTTTCTCCTGGCCACCAATTCCTAATGTCCCCCTCCACAAGTTGACCCGTTTTCTACTAACTAGATGTAAACATTTATCCTTCGTCAGCGTTGACTATTATCCTCAAAATTCTGTCATCAATCACATCTTAACCCCTTATGCCCTATCAATGATACATAGACTATATTGGGTACAAAATATATTTAAGAATGTGTACATAAAGAGTATGGGATATGTTGCACGTGTTTCGACAAACATTATGCTTCTAGTCTTGAGTCATCCCTTGGGGTTCCAGGATACCTTCTTCTCCTGTGTATACCAAAGTCTGTGCATAGTCAAGTCATGCAGTCAGCCCTGCAGAACCCACATATGTAAAAAGTCAGCCTTCCCTGTGCATGGGTTTCACATTCTGGAAATACTGTATCTTTGATCTGTGCTTGGTTGAAAAAAAAATTCATGTGTAAGTGAACCTGTACAGTTCAAACCTGTATTGTTCAAGGGCCATCAGTGCTAATTTTAGAGACATGTCCTTAGAAGAAGCGTTGTAGACTTGATTTTTAAAATATAGGTATGCATAGTAAATGCCAGAGTCCTCTTGGTTTTACTTTAATCTCCAAGCTGTTCACTTTTAGTCTATAGAATTAGATGAGACCCATATGCTTGCCTGGAAAAAATAAGGATAATGGGTTCCCTGTAATCAAGGATACAAATTTCACATCCATCTGCTTAGTGGTTCCCAAGTGTTGATGTGGAGACTTGCTTCCAAATGACTACACAGGCCGGGCGCGGTGGCTCAAGCCTGTAATCCCAGAACTTTGGGAGGCCGAGGCGGGTGGATCACGAGGTCGAGAGATCGAGACCAACCTGGTCAACATGGTGAAACCCCGTCTCTACTAAAAATACAAAAAATTAGCTGGGCATGGTGGCACATGCCTGTAATCCCAGCTACTCAGGAGGCTGAGGCAGGAGAATTGCCTGAACCCAGGAGGCGGAGGTTGCGGTGAGCCGAGATCGCGCCATTGCACTCCAGCCTGGGTAACAAGAGCGAAACTCCGTCTCAAAAAAAAAAAAAAGAAAAGAAAAATGACTACACAGAAATCATTTGGGGTGCTTTTTCGGAAGTATTGGTTGCAAGGCCCCAATCTCAGATAAGCTGAATCAGTAGTTTCGGGGTAAGGCCTAGGTACCCACATTTTAAAAGTGATATAGGCAGTTTGAATGTATAGCCAGGATTGGAGAGCACTTAGAGAACTTGTAAGAAGTGTTCTTCCAGCTCTCTGTTTCTGTGGTTTAAGTATCCAAGAAGCCTTCTTCTATCGGCTCCTGACTTTCCACAGGAGACAAGCAAGATGTTCACCTAGTATTATTTCCTTTTGGACTTCTTCAGAGTAGTTCCATACTAAATAGTTGTTGTTATTGTTTTAGTCGTAATGATAACTCCTGAATTAGGCTTAAGTTTGTAACAGTGTAGTTATAGCTGAAGAGTGCAAATTCAAGTTAAATCACAGCTAAAGCAGGGCCAAGGAATAATCTGATTGTCTTGAGGAGGTGGATCTGTGAGGTTTTCATTTTTGCAGCCCTGTTTTGGTATGGCATGTGGAAATGGTCTACCATTAATAAGTCAATACGAGTTTAATTTAGCAGTTCCTCCTATGTGATGCTACAGAACACAGAGCTCCTTCTGGGGGCAGCTTTGAGAAGGCAATACGAGTGCAGATAGAGTAACAAATTGGATTTTGCAGTACAAGTAAGGAGGATTTAGAAATTTCAGTATTCTTAAAAGAGTATTTGATTTGGATGGAGAGGGAGCTGACTTTCCTTAGAGGCTCCAAAGAATGATGGGAATGGTTAAGCAAACTAGATTCTTTATTTAGGTGACTTTTAATTGCATTACTTGGGATGTTTGCTATTTATTTACTTGATCTTTGCCCTTGTGCTAAAAGCAGGAAGGAAACCTGTTTTAATAAAGACTTGGGATACTTTGGTTTAAAATGATGAAGGGGGATTAGAACTTTGGTATTATCTATCAGGGATTCAGGATTGGTAAATGGGGCAAGGGTCTCTGTCCCTTAGATAGGGAAGTGCTGTTCTGTTAGTGAAATCTTGTTTTCATGATTCCCTCCGCTCTGAAAGTTGGTGTTTTGTAGGAGCAGCGTTAGACCCAAAATAAAAGAGTAGGAAGTGCAAACCTTGTGTAAATGGTGGATCTCTCCCTTTTGCTGTGTCTAACTTGCTATCCCTCAATTTAAAATCTTAAACTGTATCCACAGATTAGGGTTTACTTCAGTGCTTCTTTAAAATGCAAAATGTGACCCGCTTTTAAAACTTTTGATTTACATATTTGCAAGAACCCATTTATTGTAGGAAGCAAAGAACAGCTGTATCCTCCCTGCTGTTGGTTGTTTCAATCAAATCCTTTTAAAACACTAATTAGGAAGATTAGGATTTCATATTTTTTCCTTAACAACAGAAGATTCTTGGTATAAAGTTAATGAATACATACACTTCCCAGAGTGTCTTTTCAGAAGGTATATCCTATGTATCTTCAAATCAATGGCACATTTCCAAATTTTAGAATTGCTTTATAGCTGTATCAGGAAAAGGGAAAGACTGTTGTTCCAAAGAAAGTTATAAGGAGGTGAACTCATCACCAAGCTATATGGTGAGTATTTTTTCCACAAGGTATTGTAAAGCCAAAAACCATCACCAAAAGTAGGAAGAGGTAACTGGGTTACGCACTCTGTATTAGTAGTCACAATGAAATGCAATGTCTTGGTAAAAGAGGACACCAAGGAAATCACTAATGATGGCACTCAAGTTTTTAAGAAGGTACTATAACAACATATGAGCATTAAAAATGCATTTGCATCCTACTGGAAGCCTGAATTATTTTTTAAAAGCTCAGATGGAAAGCTCAAGATGTGTTTGTTCCATGTGAGTACTGGAAGTGGGTGGGGATACACAAGTAGCTTGCTGTCTCAGATACTTCTACATGGACAGTACAACTTTTAGAAATGGGGAAAAATCCAATAAGAGAGAATGGTGAAGCTTACAAGGTCAACAGGTTATGTACAAACTGTTTTTTAGGCTGTATAAAAAGAGAACTTGGTGAAATTCTTTAAAAGCAGTCATGCGTTTGGGAGTTACCTCAAAAGGAAGCGGTTTACTGGAGTAGCAGTGTGTCCATTTGGTGATCATGGTGCAAAGAACTTGATAAGAGAAAAACAATATTTTCAATGGCCTCTTTGTCTAATAAAGGAAGATAAAAGGAACATACTATCTCCATAATTGTCTTCGGAAATTGATGATGAAGTGAAACTAGGTAAAACTTTAGTAAATAAACAGCTATTCAAGGTACAGTTGACAAATTAGACATAAATAGCTCACCAGAACTAGATGAAATCCTCCTATATTTTGAAGGAACTCAAAGTTTTTGATTAATAAAGCACTTAATAATGTGCTTTTGGCAGGGTTGGCAATCTTGAGTTTCTACTTGATCAGCAGTATATTTTCAGCAATGTGATTTTAAGTAAGTATACAAAGTTTGTTTGGGGTAAAATTTTAATTCAAAATTGTGTAAGATATGGAATATTTCTGATTCAGGAAACGATAGTGAATTTATAAATCTAAGTCATGACTATACATTTGTTAACCTTAAAAGCCTATGCTTATTACAGATTTTATTGTAGTGAAAATGTTAAATTATCCTGGATCTTCCCTGTGAGATGAGTTGTGAAAGTTCATTGTATTACTATTTTCTCATTAGTACTATCAATTATTACGAAGGTATAGAATCTTAGTTCAGCCATTGATGATAACATTACTTATAGGTAGGATTCCAACTAAAAAAAAACAAAGACCTCTAAAGCCTGGAGTCTTCTGTTGTCTGTGTTATTTAGATGGCGATTTGGAAGTGTAGCTAAGATAATTGGGATATCCGAGTTGGCGCGAGAGGAATGTTAAAAGGTAATATTGGCAGAATGTTAGAAACTTAAACAGTTCACCTTAGCTTAGGTTAGATGTTCTCCCACTATTGGTACGTTTCCATTAATGTGTAAACTGTGTATAATCAGTAGCTTTATTCCAAAAAGTACCTGATCTTTTGGTAGGCACTGGCTGTATTTGCTGTGTGAGAATGTGGTAGCAGGATCAGTAAGCTCAGTTAGTGTGTGTGACTCACTAGAATATGGACTAGCTGCCTGTTTGGGATTATAATTGGTCTAACAAAGCACATATGGAGAGTTAAAGGAGTTTGTATGCTTTTACAAAAATTTGTTATTGTCTTATGTGATTTATTTTCCTTCATTACAAAAATTTGATTCAAAACATTTGTGTTCTTTCTTTCTCTCTCTCCCCACTCCCCTTAGAATAACATAGCTGATCCAGAAGAACTGTTCACAAAATTAGAGCGCATTGGGAAAGGCTCATTTGGAGAAGTTTTCAAAGGAATTGATAACCGTACTCAGCAAGTGGTTGCTATTAAAATCATAGACCTTGAGGAAGCCGAAGATGAAATAGAAGACATTCAGCAAGAAATAACTGTTTTGAGTCAGTGTGACAGCTCATATGTAACAAAATACTATGGGTCATATTTAAAGGTAATGTGTGTGTTGTATTATTTAAGTCATAAGGTATTTTCATTTGAAGTTTTTTTCTCTTTTTTTAAAGGCAATGTCTGAAATTAGGATTTGGCAGTCTGTGGCCTCTAGGCAGAGTCCAGCTCCATTTATACTGCCAAATAAACCATTGTTAGATTTAGCAGCTGTATCCTAAATGCATCCCAGTATTCAGCTGCACCCCTTTTCCACACCTGAACTTTTGATTTGATGGAGGAGCAGAAATGCAGCTGGTTCTGGAGACAGATCCTTTGTCAGGAAAAAGCTATTCCCCCTGGGTTTCCAGACATTATGCTCAATGATCTTGTCTGTCTCAATCTCAGAATTGATGGAACATGTAAGTATGTCACTTATTTCATTGAGTTATGGTGGTTAATTATGCATTTCTGTTTCGCATCGGGTTGTCAGCTCCTTCATGGCAGGGAGTTTAGCTTAACCAGTCCTGGTACTTACATCACTTAGCCCAGGGTTTGGCACATTTTAAGCACATGATAAATATTTGTTAAAATGGAATTAAGCGGAATAACATCTGCCTCCCCTTCTAAAGAAAATGTGGATTTTTACTGGTTCCAGAATCATGGGATTAGCAGACACCTAAAGTTCCAGCAGATGGAGATGCTACTACATAGCAGAAAACTCGTTGATAAAACCCAATGTTCTTGGGTTCCAAAGTTAGAAGTCAGGATTCATCTCTGACAATAAATAGCTGAAAAAAAAAAAAAAAAAAGGCTCCACAAACTCTAGCTTAGTTTAGAGTTAAAATCATTTTAACATTAAAATTGTTTATCCTCATATTGAAGGTTGTCAAATGAAGGCTGTGCTACATCTTTGCCTTTCAGGGTTTAAAAGTAGGGAAGTGTTTGTTGATACTAGTTGATCTATAGGTCAAAAAGAGTATATCTATAACTAATTAAGCTGTTGGCCTGCATAAAAATTAATGATAGTATTTTATGCTCTGCTGCCCAAATAAAACTTTGGATATCCATCTATATCTTTTCCAAATAACCTGTCTTCAAGTTTACAGATTCTTTCTTCCGTTTGATCAGTTCTGCTATTGATACTTTATTGCACTGTTTCATTTCATTCATTATATTTTTCAGCTCTAAAATTTGAATTTTTAATATGATTTAATCTCCTTGTTAAATTTATCATTTTGTTCTCCTGATTTCACTTGTTTCTTTGTATTTTCTTGAAGTTTTCTGAGCTTCCTTGATACAATTATTTTAAGTTCTTTGTCAGGCAGTTTATAAATCTCCATTTATTTGGAGTCAGCTCCTGGGAAACTGTTGTGTTCTTTTGATGGTGAGATGTCTCCTTGGTTTTTCATGTTTAATATTGCCTTAGGTTGATGTCTCTGCAGTTGATAGAGCAATTGCCTCTTCCAGACATTACAGGTTTCAATATGAAAAGACCTTCTTCCTCTGTAGGACAGTGTGAGACCAATGGCTGGGTGGGTTGCAGTGGTTCTGTTCCCAATTAGGGCGTAAGAGCCCACATAGTCTCTCTGCAGCTCTGTCAATTGAGATTAGTGTTAACGAAGATTGGAGGGGTCCTCAGTGGTCAATACCTTGGGTGTCTACAACAGTGATGAGGGTTGTTTGAGGTCTTTGGTGGCGAGAGCTGCTAGGGTCCTCCCAATCTCTTTTTCTTCCACTAGAGAAATCATGGCTGACTAGATCCCTTTTGGCATTGGGTCTGGCTTGTGGGCCCACTTGAGGTGGCACTAGCGTCTAATGAGTGATGCCCATGGAGTGGCCAGAGCTAAGACTTCAAGCATAAGCATGTCTGGAGGGACATGCTCTGAGGCTTAAGCCAGTAGTGGTACCAATGTCCTAGGTACAAATACCCCCTACTGCTGCACAGAGCTATAGTGGCACTGAGGGTGGGGTGAGGCCTAGCGCTTTGTAGTACCTGAGTTGGTGTCTGGAGCACAGCCATGCTCAGAGGGACTTTGGCTCTGAGCCAAAGTGGGATGTGAGCTAGCTTACTATGGCAGTAATTGGTGCCAGTGTGTGAGCTGTGGATGGGCACAGTGCAACCACTTAGCTGGACTGGAGTCCAGAACACAGCCTAGCTTTCAGTGGTGGCTATGTGGGTGCCTTGAGCATAGGCAAACTCAGAGAAACCTTGTTTCGGGGAACTGGGTATGAGCTAGCTCACTGTGGCAGTGACTCCAGTGTCTGAGATATGGTTGAGCTCAGTGAAGACACAGAATCTGGGTCTGGAGTGTGGGCACTCATGGAACAGCCATGACTCAGAGGTCAGGAGCCTGCACCAGTTTTGAGAGTGGTGGCTTCCTCCATGTGGCTCAACAATGTCTTCTTGAGATGAGAGAGTTTTGTAGCCATGTCTCCCTCTCTGGGGTTCCTGAGCAGGAATGACTGTTGGCTACCGCAGTAGCAAGAGATGCCAGTGTCCTCTGCAGAGCAGACCACTGGGGACCAAATGGCTTGTACTGTATAGCGATACCAATAACCACCACCTTTCATCTTTGTTCCTAGACATCTCCTGGCCTCTCAGGTATGCTGATCTCATCAGTGATCCTTTCTGTGGAGATATTCTTTCTTTTTTGTTCCACTGTGTTGCTGCAGATTGTTAAATGGGTCCTTGAATCCTTCCAGGGTTACTTGGGTTTGTGGATAGCTGTCTGTATTTGGCTTTTTTTTTTTTTTTTTTTTTTTTTTTTTTTTTTTAGTGTGTATGTGGAGGCGGGGGTGATGAAAACTGGTATCTCCTCTGCCATCTTGGTGACTTTGTCATCACTTTCTTGATCTATCTGTATCTATCTGTATCTGTATATTAGTTAATACTGATAGAAATTCATTACAAATTTCACTGTTTACAAAACATTATTCTAATATTAGATGTATGTGGAATGAATCCATAATAGAATGAATCTTTAAGCAGCCAAACAGCCACTATGTATTATACACTGTTTTAGGTGCTGAAGATATAAAAGTGAACAAACTCACTACTGTTGTCAAGGCACTCACAGTCCAGTATTGCATGGAAATGATGCAGATTTTATGATTAAAGTATGTACCAGATATAGATGATGCACAAATAAGTAAGTAGTCACTTCTGTCCTTTTCAGGAGTGGCATTAATAAAAGGCCTCCAAAAGGAGGTGATAATGCTAGTAATTTCTATCCAATTTTAGCATTTACTTCTAAGTATTAGCTGTTACTGTATTTTACTACATACATAATTATTTGGTCCTTTGTGTGATAATTTTGCTTTCATATTTGTTTTTAAAAAGCTAATTAAGCCCATCAGTTCTTTTTTAGCTATCTCATAAGTGATTATGCAGTCTCAGTAGTTTTAGGTTCTCCTCCTAATTCCCATACAATTCCTTGGCATCACACATCCCCACAAATTTGTTGTTGAGTGAGTGTGTGTGTGTGTGTGTGTGTGTGCGCGCACGAACCCCGCGTGTGTTATTTGCTCATTCTGGTTTACTCTTCCTGGATTGAATCCCGGTAATTCCAGACCCACTCTAGGGCAAACCTGAACCCTTGCTACTTTAGGCATCTGTGACACTACATTAATTTTGGTTGCTGACTTAAAATATTAAGTAAGCCCTCTTTAAAATGGCTATTCCATAATATATTGAAAATTGATACTGATATGGTTTGACCATTTTATTGGTTGCTTATAGCCCTTATTTATTCATATTCAGTTACTTTCATGGAAAATGATTTACAGCTCTGTCTTATTTTCCTAAGAGTTCATATAGGGTGTTTTCTAAGTAGCACAGTAGTATACATGTATTAGTCACCCAGTATTTACTTAATCTTTAAATAATTAAAAACTAATTTTTGTTTGTCCCAAATTTTTATTGTCAAATGTATTCAGACCAGCCAGTGCTACAAAACCATTGTCCAAGATACCTTCTTAAAGGATTAAATAGAATTATTTTTATCTCCTTCACCCATCATTAATTAAACTCTATGATATAAACCACTACTTTGAAGAACAGATGCTTCATGATAAAACTGTAGAAATGTGCACCTGGCTTATGTTGATTATTTGTGTTCCGAATATATTTAAAGTAAATAAATGTGTGTGTATACACATGTCTCTCTACAAGATGTGTATATATACACAGAGAAAGAAATATTCTATAATCTTATAACATTTTCATACTAGTTATTTAAATCACTTTCTTAAATTGACAACTCATTTATTTTCCATTTACATTACAACATAGTATGACTGTGTCGGTTTGTATTTTTTTTTTCTAAACTAAAATCGCATCAAATGTAACAGGATTCGGTTTCATGTAGTCGAAGTAAGTCAAGGCCCCATTCTCTTAGTACCATCAGGGAACTACATTATCAGTCAGCTTACATACTTATTGTGGCCCATTGTTGCATTTCAGGTGATATGGATGATTTTGTGAGTCAAATTAATTGAACAAACCAGGAAATGGGTTGTTCTTACACAGGATGTCATCCATAACTAAGACCTCTCTGTAAACGGGAAGAAAAGGTTGTTACATTAGAGAGAAAATTATATGCTCTTTGAAACTGTATGCAGTTGTAGTGATTTCCGTGAGACATGCAAAAAATGTAGTAGGTATTCATTTTGACTGAGCTCACTGTATAACTTCATTTTTAAAAACAGGAGTTAAAAACCAGACAAACACATCAGTATGACCACAGTGTTTTCCTTTAATTTCAGTTCACTGGGCAGATTTTCTTGACAAAGTTAGTCTTTATGAAGAGTGCTAAAATAAGCAAACCCTTCCCTTCTGATCTCATAATATTGGAATAATCTTTTATAATCTTTAAATATTTTTCTAGTTCAATGTAAATCTTAAAATGACACTCACTCAGGCATTGAATAGAATTTGAATCATGCCTTTATTTGCTGCTGAAAATTGCCTTTAGATTTCTGTGTATGTTAAGGAAATATTGCCTCTCACCTACCATCACCAACATTTATGAAAAAAAAATTGAGTGAAGTAAATATTTCAGAATTGTCTGTATAGTTTTGTGGCCTTCTCATTATTTTTCACTGAAACTGTATGTGCTTACAGCCAGTGTATGTATGCTCAATGCCTCTGAAATATTCTTTTATCATTAACTTTTTTTTTTTTTTGGAGTTCTCTTACAAAACTTGAAGAAAATTGAGGATGGAGAGTTTGTTCCATCTTAAAATGTTCTGTTCTCAAAATAGCATTAGCTTTAAACTTAATATAATGCACCTCCAAGAAGCCCCATACTAGATTCAAGGCAACAGACGTTTATTTATTAAGTACCTACTATGTGTGTTCCTCTTATTTGGCATATTGTGTTTAATCTCATCTACTTTGGTCTGACAATTTCTAAATTGATGTCTCTGGTTTCATCCTCTCTGCTCAGCCCCAGATATGTGTTTATAAGTTGCCTCATGTTAATAGCCTGCTTATCTGTGAGTACATCAAGGCCAGTAACCCTCAAAAAATACAAACCTAGGGAGGTCGCATTTCAACTAAGTCTTGAGTATGATTTTGGTAGGGGTTGGGAGGTGAGAGGGGGATAGGGACACAGTATTCCAAGCTGGAAGAAAATAGCTCAGAAGTGGTAAATTTTCTAGCCATATTCTTGGCAAAATGATCTCTACTGTCACTTGCAGTTTTATAAAATCTTATGTGCTAGGGTTTTTTTAATTGGATAAAATATACTTAACACTAAATTTGCCATTTTAAGTGTACAGCTCTGGGGTGTTTTTTGGTTGGTTGGTTGGTTGGTTGGTTGGTTCTTTTTTGCTCTTTTTGTGACAGGGTCTCACTCTGTCACCCAAGCTGGAATACAATGGTACAATCTCGGCTCACTGCAGCCTCCACCTCCCAGATTCAGTTGATCCTCCCACCTCAGCCTCCTGAGTAGCTGGGACTACAGGCGTATGCCACCACACCCAACTAATTTTTTGTACTTTTTGTAGAGATGAGGTCTCACTATGTTACCCAGGCTGCTCTCAGACTCCTGGATTCAAATAATCCTCCCACCTCAGCCTTCTAAAATACTGGGAATACAGATGTGTTGTGCAACCCTCACCACCACTGATTTCCAGAACAAATAAGGATTCCTTATTTCAGACCTAGAAATTGATTAGTTATAATTTTAATGCTTAATGGTATATACTACTTTATAAAATCACATTTTAAGCTTTCTGTGAACAGTTCTTAGTGACAGACAGTTGGCAAGTTTCTGTTTTGAATTAGTACAAACAAAAAGGCACACATTGTTTTTAACTTGGAAAACAGGTGCTTTCATTCATGCAGAACTGCAAAATAGAAAGGCAGGTTTTATTATATTTTTCTTTTAAATATCAGGTGAATGAGAAGCTCTCTGAATTAATATGATTTAGTGCTTGTTAGAAACAAACTGTGGCAAAAGAAACAATTTATAACCTATCCACCATTTTAAGAACCACTTTTTTCTTCTCTTGAGAAAAGTATAAAGATACATTAGATTCCCAGTTCTCAGGATGCAGGTGCCTAAGTTTTATACACAAATACAAGTGACATGAACCTTTCCTGGAACTCCTCTTCCCTCACCAGTGTTGTGGGAATTTATTTCCTCTATTTCCTAATGTAGACTTCACTGCTAACCAAGACTCTCAGCTTTCTGCTTGCAGTGCAAGCTGGCCATCTATGGCAGGACAGAATAGATGTCAAGATTAGTGGAGGAAGTGGTAGGGGAACACCGTTCCTCCTTCTCTTACAAATTCTACATGGTGTCAGCATCTGGAAAAAAGAATCATTTTGTTTTAATTAACTGAGCCCTCCCTTCGTGATCCCTAACCCTAGGCCACATCCCATTCCCCACACTACACCATCAGTTCCACTCTGATTCTTCAACCCTCTTCCCATCCCCTAAGCGCTCATCATCATGTCACTGGAGTCCATTCTTTGCCTTGATAAAGTCACATCCTCATGGAGATGCTTGGACATTTTAAACTGGACTCCTGATTACCTCCCAGGGATTTTTGTGTTTGAGGGCTACTGGCAGTAGCTTGAGAATCTTCACCCCACAGCTGGGGCTGTAAAGGTGAGAAATATGTTTCTGGCATCCCAAGTTGAAGCACAACACTGAATATATTTTTCCACTAGAAATATTGTTAAGCCATAAATAGTAGTGAGTTTCTATGCTACTCTTCATTCTATACTATGAATGAATACATTTGTGTGAAGTTGTCTTTGGGGAGGATTCCCCCAGCAACTTAGGCATTATTTTTATGGGAAAATGCTTGCTTTTAAAACTCCCAACATCTTACTTTTGAAACACAGTCCAGTTACTACTTGGCTGCTGCCAGTATAGTGAAACCAACCATTCTACTTCCAGTCAGCTCTGTGATTCCACAGAAATTCAGAGACTACCACTCATGAAATAGTATGGAGAGAGAGGTGTCCCTTGTATTTCAAGCTATAGCTAAAACAAAAAGGGTTTAATGGTTTATTCCAGTGTTTAACTGATGGAACTGCGTAATGTGTGTGTGTGTGTGTGTGTGTGTGTGTGTGTGTGTGTGTGTGTACACCTGTTTTAGAATTTGTGTACATATACTCCTCCCAGGAGAACCATATCCTCTTGTTAGCTCACAGCAAGGTTAATTCCACCTGGAGTAATCATATTTTTTTTTTTTTTTTTTTTTTTTTTGAGACGGAGTTCCGCTCTTGTTACCCAGGCTGGAGTGCAATGGCGCGATCTCGGCTCACCGCAACCTCCGCCTCCTGGGTTCAGGCAATTCTCCTGCCTCAGCCTCCTGAGTAGCTGGGATTACAGGCACGCGCCACCATGCCCAGCTAATTTTTTGTATTTTTAGTAGAGACGGGGTTTCACCATGTTGACCAGGATGGTCTCGATCTCTCGACCTCGTGATCCACCCGCCTCGGCCTCCCAAAGTGCTGGGATTACAGGCTTGAGCCACCGCGCCTGGCCAATCATATGTTTTTAAAGCTACACTTTCCCTTTTTCTTATCCATTTACATCAGAGATATAATAAACAGTATTCTTTCTGAGTTCCATGTGTGTACCAAAAATGCCCATTAACCATAGCTGATAAACGTTGTGAAGTACGTGAAAACAAATGAAAGCCAGCAACGCAAATAAGGGAAAATATCCGTTGTCCTCAAACTCAAACCTAAAATTTCTACAAGCCCTCATTTACCTCCTCATTCTTTAATGTAACTGCCTTTCCAATATCGTCATTCAAGATAATTATTTAAAACTTGGTTTTTTTCTGAGTTTTATAAAAATTACTAATAGTTCAACAATAACAAACTACTTTTATTTGTTTAGCTATATCACAGGCAAAAAGATACGGGGGTAGTCTAAGCTCAGAACTTTAATTTGGAATGTTCTATGGAAAAAATATATTCTGGGTTCCCAAGCAACCACTTTTCAATCTGCATTTTGGAATCTGTTCTTTATTTTTATGACTTTTTAAAATTTTTATTTTTTGTGGCTACAAAGAAGGTGTAAATATTTATGGAATACATGAGCTATTTTGATACAGGCATACAATGTTTAATGATCACACTGGGGTACATTTACTATTTGTGTCACAAACAGTCCAATAATACTTTTCTAGTTATTTTTAAAAGTACGATTAAATTATTATTGACTATAGTCACCCTGTTGTGCTATCAAATACTAGATTATTTCTCTAACTGCTTTTTGTACCCATTAACCATCCCCAACTCACCCTCCCTACTGTCCTTCTCAGCCTCTGGTAACCATCCTTCTATTCTCTATCTCCAAGGGTTCAATTGTTTTAATTTTTCGTTCCGACAAATAAGTGAGAACATGTAAATAAAATCTGTGCTTTAGTAGGTGAGATTTAACATTTTTGCCAGTATGTTATTTTGGCTCATGTTTGTAATTATTAAATTGTTTCATGGCTTTACAGGGGTCTAAATTATGGATAATAATGGAATACCTGGGTGGCGGTTCAGCACTGGATCTTGTAAGTATTTTAAAATAATTACACACACATGCAAGTGTGTGCATATGCACATACCTTATTTTTTTTTTAATTGAAGAGCAATGGCTTTTGGGCACGCTGAGTGGTTGCTTTATTTAGTTAATATGTTCAAATTAAATTCTTTGTTCATGACCACTACCTTATGTAGGTACAGATGTATTGTAGGTTTGAGCATGTTGCTGGCATTCTAAGACTATATAAGAAATGCAAATAGCTTAATAAAGTCCCCCAAATTAGAAGTGGATGTGTGTGTCCATTGCTGTCAGTTTTAAGTTTGACTTTTGCAAGCTTATCCCTGAAAAAACTGAGTGTCTTTAGATTTTTAAAAAACAAATCGTTGAGATAACTGTCACTCAAAGTGATTGTTACTAACTGAATGGTTGTGTCCCCCAAAATTCATGTGTGGAAATCCTAACCCCCAATGTGATGATATTAGGAAGTGGGGACTTTGGGAAGTAATTAAGTCGTGAAGGTGGAGTTCTCATGAATAAGATTAGTGCCCTTATAAAAGACACCCCAGAGAGCTCTCTGGCTTTCTTGCCACTGTGAGAGGGTGCAGTGAGAAGGCCTTCTGGAAACCAGGAAGAGTGACTTTACCAGACACAAATCTGCCAGCCCCTTGATCTTGGATTTATTCCCCAGTCTTCAGAACTATGAGAAATAAATACTGTTTAAGCCACTCTGTGGTATTCTACTATAGCACCTGAATTGACTAAGATAGTGGTACTAGGGTTCTAACCAAGGTAGGCATGCAGATCCAGGTCTTTACAGAGTTCTCTCTGCCTCTCTACAGGTCATTTGGAAATGCAGTGGCATTTTGGGTTGTCACAATCACTTAAAAGTGCTCCTGTCATTTTAGTGGTCAAGGATCAGAATGCTAAAATCCTGCAGTGTGCAGGAAAATTCAACCCAATGAAGATGACTTCACAGACAGAATGCCTTTGAGAAACAGTGGTTGTTCCCCGATTTAGTGTGATGCTATCAATGTTGAGTTTCTTTCCCTTCCTGAAAAATCTTTATTAATATGACACTATTATTTAAAATTCAGTATGACTTATGAGAGGCAACTTAGTGTAGTAGAATGACCACTAAGCTGGCGTAGGGTGTTGGAGGTTATAGGTCTGGCTCTACGTACAACTAAATCTGTGCCTGTGAACCAGACACAGACTTCCTGGACTTGGATGTCCTATAAAACAAAGAAGTTGCACTAAGTTATTTCCAAGTTCCCTTTCATCTTTAATATTATATGATTTTTTATTTGCATGCTTCTGCCTGTGAAATTATAGAGTATGCTGTTTCTAAGAAAGTGTTTTGATTAAAGTAATCAAGTAATGTTTTAATTCTTATTTTTTTAGGTACAGATGAGTTTTCCTAACTGAAAGTGATTAAATATTTTTAAAAGGCTTTAACCCTGACTGCCAGTGACTCAAAGTTTCAAATAATTTTATGAACAGAAATGACCATAAGAGATTTTCTTTCTTTTATACAGAACCATATTTAAACCATTCTAAAGAAACGATAATTAAACTTGATGGAGAGCCTCATCTACTTCTAGGAATTCATGTCAGTTTAATCAGTTCTGAATCTGGTAATCTTTTCCTTGTGTCTCATCTAATTCTTATATCTTAAAGCCTGAGTTCATTTTTTTTTCTCTCCTCTCTAGTGAGAGAACACCACTGATGTTTCTTTGTGTAATAATCCTTCATGTATGGAGTCAGGCTTCATTCTCCTCTTGAAGTTAAATGATCTCATTTCTATTTGTCTTGTCACAGAGCCATATTATTCAATAGTTTTTTCATTAGCTCTGCAAGAAGCCTCTCAATTGTTTCATGATCCTCTTTCCATTTTTTGAATATTAAGCGCCCTTTCCAAATGTATCAGTTGCTTTATCTGGTCCCTCAGGGTGCTCACAATTTCTCTTCCCTGTTTTGGAACTACTGGCAAAGCTAGGTCACTCTGTTCAGCAGTATCACTGATAACAATGTTAAGCAGTGAACACTGGCCTAACCCCAACTAACGACCCTAATCTGTGTCCCCTAGTAGCAGTTTGGTCAGTTTTATGAACTCTCCAAGTTAAATGATTATGATATCTTAATCGCATCCTGCTATTCCGATCTCTACTTAATAAAACAAATAGCCATTAGTATCAATTTCAATGAATGAAAAATGTTGTTAGTGCTTTATTGGCTAAGAATCAAAAGACCTAGGTCTTAAACCCAGCATAACACTGCCTGGCAAATATTGGGCAGCTCTTTATCCTCTTTGTCTCTTAATTTCTTCACATGTCAAATGAAGAAATTGAATCAGTAATCTCTAATTTTGTGCTTCTACCTCTAAAATTCAATATTACTGTGATTTACTTTGAAGCCTCATTTAATTAGACTTTATAGGGAGAGCAAATAATGAGAAAATGTTTATTCCTTCTTAATGTATGTTCCTATACAAATAAATGCTATCATTTGGGGAATCTAAGGCAGGATTAGGTTTAGAGGAAGGCTCTGCTACTAAGAACAAGAGGAAATAAAAGGGATGTTTAGCGGAGAATGTTTCTCACTTTAAACTGGTACCAGGTGCGTAACTAATGGAATAACGTAAGATTACAACTTGTCATTTGTGTCAACTTTATAGAGTGTCTACCTCGAGTCACTCCCATTCTTGAAAAACAATTTATTGTATGTGAGCAGACTTTGAGTATATTGGGCATCATTTTATTGACTTTATTATGCTCCACTTCTTTCCAAAAAGAATTGTTGTGCCTTGCAACAAAAACACATATAAGAAGATGACTAGAATAAAACATGAGCCCCAAGGAAAAGAAAGAATATGCTAACCATAAGAGAAGGCATAACATAGCAGACTGCATTAGGGCCTGGCTGGAAGTCAAAGAAGTGAGGGGAAGATCACGAGTCCACAAATGTACAGTCTTTGAAAGAGTCAAGGCCCCTTTTTGCATATTCTCACTTAACAACAGAGGCAAATCGCACAAGACAAGTACACTGCTCTGGGACAGAGGTATTATCTGTTAGCGACATGGCAAGGTCTTCAGTCATTGGAGAAAAGTTCAAATGGAGAAAAGTTTCCTTGCCACAGAGTCTTTCTTCCCATCTTCCTCCAATACCCAGTTAATTGAGATTTTACTTTTATTGAATTTTAACATGAACCTAAAATATAGCAGATAAGCTCATGAATCTTTAGGATTCCCTTTTTGTTGTTTTTACTTAAATATTTTTTAAAATCTTCTGTAATAGAGAATATGCTGGCTTGTTTACATTAGGTTTAGATGTTCTTCAGGATGATAGCTAGTAGGCCGTACACTAATCTTGCCCAGTCACTTAAATAACCAAGGATATACCTCCTCTGGCCTTGCTAATGTCCTATGATCAGATGATACTAATTACCCATCTTAAGTGGTATGATATTTGTCCTTCAGTTATTTTGTAGTACCTCAGAAGTTCACAGCCAGCCATCAATAAAATAGTATGCTATTTTCACCCTTTCTAGAAGACTTTAGAAACTAATCACTACTGTTTAAATAGAAACTTTGGGGTGGAAGTTGATAGATTTAAAAGTAAATAGGTAATGTTACCTAGGAAAGGGACCTATTGAATTACAGACATCCCTGGAGTGTACTATATACCCAGACCACAGTTAATATTAGATGGTGAGACCAAAGTATGAGTTCTATTTTAAGCTGTTAAATTTCAACATGAAAGTGCCCTTTATTCAGCATAAATATGGCATTCATGAAACATGAAATACACAAGGTGCCAAAGAGCTGTGGATCCCTCCCAGTGTGAGGCAGAGTGGGCAATGTTTGATTTTCACCACCTCTTCCCTCCTTCCAGAAGCAAACAGAACTCTGCCTCGGCTCTGACTTTAGATTCCCACCTTTTCCTGTAATAATATTGTACAGTCCACTGTTTGTGCTTTATGAGGTACCAGAATTTTAAAATAACCATTTATTTTAAAGAGGGATTTTCAGATATTCCATTACAAGTTCTCTTGAAACCTAATCATTGCTTTCCTTGTATTCCAGTTGGAACTATTGGCTTTGGTACAAGGATGGGGAAATAAAGGGATGTGTGTTACATTTATTTGAAAAACATTATCCCTCCATGATTTAAATTTTTTACAATCTAAGTCTGAATAGTTTAATTATTATATTCTTGGCTAAATTTATAATTTGAGTCTCAAAAAGGCTCTGTTCTTTACAATATTATTAAAATAAGTAAATACTGACTGATATGATCAAATAGTTGCTGTGGAAATCTTATAGATTGTCTGACCTAAAAATCAGTTTTGTGTCAATATGTAGTAACTTTTTCACAGGAAATGCCATAATTTAACTGATTTCTTTTTTTTCCACCTAAAGAAAAACTAAGTGGTTCTGTCATTGTGTAAGCAAATTTGTTTCATCTTTGATGTAAATATTTGGGAACCTCAGAATATGGAGCCTAGCATGTAGGTAAAAGGGCTTGTATTATCTTTCATTAAATCGAATCATTAAAAAACCCGTTCAGCCCTTTGAACTCTTTTGCTTTCTTCTTTCACATGTTACATTTTTCCTCACTTGTTTAGATATTGATTTAGTAAAGAGAACGGCATCATGTGTCTAACTGATTCCTTCATTTCAAAGATACCAATTTTGAAGTTTACATTTCCAAACTTTTATACATGTGTGTATGTGTGTGTGTGTGTTTTTCCCCTTAAGCTTCGAGCTGGTCCATTTGATGAGTTCCAGATTGCTACCATGCTAAAGGAGATTTTAAAAGGTCTCGACTATCTGCATTCAGAAAAGAAAATTCACCGAGACATAAAAGGTATACAAAAGTCTAATATGAACCTGAGAAAAATAGAAGCATTCTGAGCAAACTGAGTTTTTTTCTTTTCTTTTTAACTCCTAGCTGCCAATGTCTTGCTCTCAGAACAAGGAGATGTTAAACTTGCTGACTTTGGAGTTGCTGGCCAGCTGACAGATACACAGATTAAAAGAAATACCTTTGTGGGAACTCCATTTTGGATGGCTCCTGAAGTTATTCAACAGTCAGCTTATGACTCAAAAGTAAAGTATTACCTGCACAAACTGTTTTGGGTTTGTTAATAAATTGTATATGGCGCACTATCTTAGTTAATACATTGCCTTATTTTTCCTTGTTTCACAAGCGTTTCTTAAATTAGAATTACGTCTTATTTTTCTGCTTAATCATAAATTCCTTCACTGCTACCTAATATTTGGACCCTATTCACTTCAATGGCTTTTCATCCTATGTGGAATAAAATCCTAAGTCCTTTCTGTGACATATAAAGCTGTACACAATCTGGCCATTATCTGCCCCTCCAATCTTATCTCCTACCACTCTCTTATAGATTATTCTTCATCCACAGTGGCCTCATGGTTGTTTCTCAAACATAGCAAGTACACCCTGGCCTCAGGACCTTTGTAACTGCCCATCCCTCTGTATGAAATAACCTTCCTCCCACAATCAGGTCTTGGCTTAAACATCACCTACACAGGGAAGTCTTCCCTAGCCACCCTATGTAAATTTCCAACACCATTGGCCCCATGATTCATTATTCTCTTACTATGCTTTGTTATTTTCTTCACAGAACTTAGTACCACCTGGCACCATATCATTTATTTATTTGCGTCTGTTACTAGAATGTAATCCCCTTAAGACCAGGGATTTTTGTCTAGCTTATTCACCACTGAAATCCTCCATTCCTAGAATGGTACCTGACATAAAGTATAGAATTTATTATTTTTAAAATGTTAACACCACATTTTCTTGAGAGACGGGTATTGTATGACCATTAGGTTCCACAGGTTATTTTGTGGTAGTATATTGGAATGGAGTTTCAAGGTAAGATATATATCTATATCTATATCTATATCTATATCTATATCTATCTATCTATCTATATATATATAGAGAGAGAGAGAGAGAGATGTGTGTGTGTGTGTGTGTGTGTGTAGTGTATATATATGTGTGTGTGTGTGTAGTGTGTATATATATATATATATATATATATATATATATATATATATATTTTTTTTTTTCCCCCTCCTCTTACCTTAGGCTGACATTTGGTCGTTGGGAATTACTGCTATTGAACTAGCCAAGGGAGAACCACCTAACTCCGATATGCATCCAATGAGAGTTCTGTTTCTTATTCCCAAAAACAATCCTCCAACTCTTGTTGGAGAGTTTACTAAATCTTTTAAGGAATTTGTTGATGCTTGCCTGAACAAAGATCCATCATTTGTGAGTATATATTGCTATTATTACTATTTGTTTTCTATTATTAGCTCTAACTATAGCAAAGGGAGCTTTTCCTGCAGTAGGGAATACAGTGCATATGAGAAGTGTCTAAGATCCATCCAGGAACCTGGTTTGTCCCTCTGTATTGCTATTTCTATTCCATTCTTAATAAGATTCTTCATTCATTTTCTCCTTACCCTTTGTTTTTTTTCTTGGTCCTCAGCTTCCTCCATATTCTATTGATTATTTTTTATTTCAGGGGGAAATAAATTTGAGAAATAAAGTGAACCTTATATTATGTCATTATTAAAGTGTATATATAAATACAATGATTTTTATTCAACTGTTTTCATTTCTCATGAAAAGTTATGTTTGGGTTTACCTTGGTTTTTTTGTTTGTTTTTTTTTTGTTTGTTTGTTTTTTGTTTTTGAGACAAAGTCTTGCTCTGTTGCCCAGGTTGCAGTGCAGTGGTGCAATCTTGATTCTCCTGCCTCAGCCTCCTGAGAAGCTGGGATTATAGGCTCCTGCTACCACACCTAGGGCTAAGTTTTAAATTTTTGGTAGAGTTGGGGCTTACACCATGTTGGCCAGTCCAGTCTCGAACTCCTGACCTCTAATGATCTGCCCTCCTTGGCCTCCCAAAGTGCTGGGATTACAGGCATGAGCCACTGTGCCTGGCCAGGGCTAACTATTTTTATTTGGCATTTAGAAATTTCAGTGTGAAGTTGTATACTTTTCCCAGGCTAGTGAGCTCCATTCATTTACTTGGTGGATTTGATTACAGTTGTTTTACTGTTGTTGACATAAAACTGCCTTCTGACTTTTAGAGATGAGAAATACAAAAGAGCAGTCCAAACTTGATATAACTGTTTTAAAGTTTGATGATAAACATTCTGATATTAATAAAATGAAGGTGGGACATCCCCCACAGCACCTGGTGTTTGCATTTAGATGCAATAGAAATTGATGTCTGATGGAGAAGGGATTATAAGATATGTGTAGACAATAACAAAATTACAGCCTTGCAAGTTTTCATCAGTTTTTTTTCAAATTTACAGTAAATGTGATTAAAGTATTTTAAAACACTATTTTGAAATGTTTTTAAATGTTCCTTTCTAAATACTGTCATGTGTGTCTCTGCTTTTGAGAAGGCCCTGCCTGACGGTTTGCTGGTGGGTAAGCCACCTGTTGCCCATTGGGCTTTAACAAATTGGGACACCAAAGTAGTAGATTCAATGTGGTTGCCTTGAGCCACTTCAATAATAGAATTAGCTATTTTCCTACAGCATTTTAGTTGTCCTTATGTCTACAGACATACCTTTAGACCTTTCAGCTTAATAATTCAAGTGATTTTATTTACCATTCCTTGTAATCATACGAGTTCAGCAATTGTCACATACATCCTTGATCTTTTTTTCTGTAGCGTCCCACAGCAAAAGAACTTCTGAAACACAAATTCATTGTAAAAAATTCAAAGAAGACTTCTTATCTGACTGAACTGATAGATCGATTTAAGAGATGGAAGGCAGAAGGACACAGTGATGATGAATCTGATTCTGAGGGCTCTGATTCGTATGTACAAATTATTTAATTTTTATGTAGGTACCCTATTTGAATATTGTATATCTTTTAGATATGATCCAGTGTGCTTGTTTTAGCATAAAATATAAACCATATTTTGAAATTTCACCTTAGAAACTGTGAAAATCTTTTTCAATCACAGTCTGTGGAATACAATGAAGTTGGAAACATGTTTTTCTTGGAAGTGAGTAGCTCTAGTTTTAAATGGTCTTGGTCTAACCCCTAGTGGATACTTGAGCATATTACAAAATTTTGGAACAAGATTCAATTAAAAGTGTTATATTAGTTTGCCCAAAGTAATAAGGAGCTGAGTTTTCTCATACTTTGATAGCAACCTGCAAATCCCTCAAAAGAACTGACCTCCAGGCCTTTCCCACCTCTTGGCCATGTACCAAACCAATACATCTAAATGTTCATTTATGTATGATTTTTATTTCTTGAAAAAGTTGTAATGTTTTATAACAGCAGCATTTACATTAAAAAATTCAGCCTCATAGTCCTTAAATGAATTTAGACTAAGAAAGTCTATGTGCTGTGCCAGAATTTAGTCCTCAACCAGCTGAACTGGCACAAAGGCAACAGCAAGTTTCTTTAGGTGCTACTCTGAGATTCTTTCATTTATGAGAAATTGCCAACATTGGAAAGGAATAAAAAATATCAGGATAATCTGTGGCCTACTCTAATGGGTGTTAGCCTTAGCTTCCCATAAGAGTCACCCATGGAATCTTGAAGCAATCACAAGTCACTCTACTGGAGATCCTAATTCAATAGGTGGGGAGCAGTGAGGGACAGGTATTTATATATGGCAGGAGGTCTCAACGAAGCACATATAGAGTTGAGAATCACTCCACTACTACCATGTCGTAAAATGTAGCATTCACCTGAAGCTGAGATCAGATGCTTTTTTGTACTATGAGTTTTTAAACATTAGGACAATTATCCCTTTAAATTCTACCTGCATTTATTTGGTGTTTTTTTTGTTTTGTTTTGTTTTTTGTTTTTTTTTTGTTTTTTTTGTTTTGTTTTGTTTTGTTTTGTTTTGCCAAGCTGAATCATTTTGGCACTTACAGAGCTATCTTTGGCAATCTCTTTAGGGAATCTACCAGCAGGGAAAACAATACTCATCCTGAATGGAGCTTTACCACCGTACGAAAGAAGCCTGATCCAAAGAAAGTACAGAATGGAGCAGTATGTATATGGAGACAATTTCTTACTCTTGATGCAGTTTTTCAAACTATGTAGTTAGATTATAGTGGCAAAAATTGTTAGGATTGAATACCCTTAAATGCCTGTGTGCCTCTCTATATGTGTAGTATGATTCATTTGTCACTAGTTTTGAGCTAATTAAGAAAAGGTAATAGGAAGTTATTTAAGTGAGTATATTGGTATTTTTTAAGTACATTTCACCTAGAGATACATAAGCCCAGGAATCATAGGTATCTCTTGTAATCCCAGAACTTCTGGGACTTCCAGATGTTTAATGGGAATGAGTGATAGGAAGAAAGCTTAGAGACTTGCCTTACATAGAGTCTTTTGTTTTCAGTGGGGGATTCAAATTGGTTCATATTTGTTAAAGAATAAGAAAATGAGGACAATTATTTTAAGTTCATGTGTATAATGTGTATTATTTATTCAAAGGAGCAAGATCTTGTGCAAACCCTGAGCTGTTTGTCTATGATAATCACACCTGCATTTGCTGAAGTAAGTACAGATTAATTAGCCTTGGATATCTGTTTTAAGTAGTATAATATTTTAAATGTTTTAACTATTAATCATTCTCAGCTTAAACAGCAGGACGAGAATAATGCTAGCAGGAATCAGGCGATTGAAGAACTCGAGAAAAGTATTGCTGTGGCTGAAGCCGCCTGTCCTGGCATCACAGATAAAATGGTGAAGAAGCTAATAGAAAAATTTCAAAAGTAAGTTGGAAATATCATTTAAAAAATTATTTTGCATTTTCTGTTGGGTGTTATGATGCAATCTAATTCCCTTGATTCAACCATTCCAATTATTCATAACAAAGTCACCTTTTAATACACAGTCATATTCTTAAAAACAGTTTTTGTTTGTTGCCTGTCTTAAACATTAGCTTTCAGAACTATTATCTTTAGGCATAACAAAGTAGTTTTCCACTGCATGAAATGGCCTGTTTTTCTTTCTCCTCTAGTAGGAGTATAGACAAAAGGTCACTGAGCATATTCTCATTTGAGCTCTTATAAACGGTATTGGGGTATTATTTCTTTCTTGCCACCACCCTCAGAATTTAACGAAACACCACTAGCTGCATAGTTCCAGTGTTAAAGTTCCTGCGTTTGACCTCCACATGAGAAGTTAAGGAAAAGGTACAGGGACTCAATCTAGACCAAGAAAAGGCTCTTATGTTCAACTTCAGATTCTGTGCTGTCTCTTGAAATACTTATTTGATTTTGTTCACATTGAAAAAAGTTCTTACATTTAATTTTTTTAAAATTTTCAACAAGACTTTTGTATGCATGCATACACATACACACTCCTTAGCCTGAACAAGCTGTATGGTGATATTAATTTTAGCCTTAACCCTGTTATATCTCTTCTCAGTGCATCTTTACGTATCTTCGTGTTTATGATGCCACTGGGATCAAGCTGGAACAAACTCTGTGACCTATGAAATAACACACTCTCAAAGACCTTTCTATCTGATAAGGCTCACTTGTACTCACAAACCTAACCCCTTCTTAAAATCCCTTATATTTTAATGAAAACCTCTCATTTGTTTTCCAATTTGAAAACAAATCAATCGGAAGTTATGAAATCAAATGCAGAAGGGATTTTTGAACTCGTTTATATTTTAACATCTACATAACGAAATTCCATAGAAATCATATATCCCCTTTGTGGAATCAGTTTCTTCATTGCAGAGTTCATACAAAGGAGAAATATGAACATGCATAGTTGGACATTGGTTTACATTTTTTTTTTAAATTTTACAGGTGTTCAGCAGACGAATCCCCCTAAGAAACTTATTATTGATGTCTATTTCATACAGTACTAGAGAGACCCACCAAAACTACTTCAAGCTTAACAATGTTTAACTCATGAGCTCCATGTGCCTTTTGGATCTTTGCAACACTGAAGATTTAGAAGAAGCTATTCAACTATTTTGCGATGGTGTTTATCATTTTATATTTTGAAAGGATTATTTCCTAAAGAATAACTTTTAATAGCATAGTTTCACCTGTATTCTAGTAAATGTTGAGACACCGTTTTGCTTTAAGTATCACTATTTCTTAAGTTACTAGGATGAATACCTTTCCCGTTTTGACCTTTAGTTAACTTTACACTCCTGAAACATACAGGTCTTTCAAAGTCATTCTAAATATTCAACTTTTGTAAATTATCAAGCTTCAGAAAGCTTATTTGAAAAAAAAAAAGCCATGCATATTCTAAAAATTACTGTTGGTGGGGAGGTGTAAATAAGTCATACCTTCTTAAAACAAATTTTTAATAAAGTCTTAGAAATTAAACCTGTAAAAGTATCTTCTTAAAACAAATTTTTAATGACATCTTAGAAATGAAACCTGTAAAAGTCTTGACTCTTCTACCAAGTTGGCATGATATTCCAAAGCTCAATGATAATCACATTTGAGACCCTGTGTTTGAAGCATTTACAGGCAATGTACAGCAACAGTGGTAGCTCTTGGTGTGTGGTATTTACATTCTCTTTTAGGTAGAAGAGGCAATTTTAACCCTTATTTAACATGGTTAGAAATAGAAAGCAAAATCATTTAGCCAAGGATAGGTGTTTGGTAATGTTGGAGGAGTTAGTCTGGCTTCATGTTTTACATCTTCAACTAATAGCCCATACTATCTACTTGGATTTGGAGAGCCTAAAAATAAAGCTGATTGTCATGTGATTAAATACCTGATCAACAGGTATGAATATAACTTATACCAGCATATTTTTGCCATGATAATGAATTGTCCTATAAACTATTTATATATTTTTGTTCTTCATAATTATCAGTAATAAGCATAAGTTTGTTGTTTTTAAAAGGATATTTAAGTGAGCATTTTCTAGTTCGTATGAAAACAACCGTAGTATAGGATTATTTCTGTCCACACAAAGACAAGTTAGATTGCACAGTTAATTTTCGCTTGTATTTATGGTACTATTGAGTGGGTGATGACTTTTTTTTTAAAGCCCAGTACATATATTATGCCTGCCTAAGTTCTGAACTGGGGCTACATTTCAGTAGTTGTAGAATTATTGATATTAACTAGTTTCGATAGTTAATGTTTTGTTGTTTGGATCTGTGCAATTTGGTTTTTGCACAAAAGTCATTTTTTAAAAATCTGAGTAATTGACAAATATTAGAAGAAAGATATTCCTCCTGTAAGGTATAGTTTTTCGTCAAAGTGGCCATTACATCCTCTTTTTACATAATATAGATACTTGAGAAAATTGTGGTGTTATGTGCTAAGAAAATTCTTTTCATTAGTACCTATACTGTAACAATTACTTTTAGTGCATTGTATTTTGAAGTAATGGTTCAGTTAAAAATTTCACCTGCTGTGTAACTGAAACACAATTATAGCTTATAATCTGTAGAAGTCTGGAAATAATTTTGCAACTCATGCCATGGATTAAATGAATATTTTTATAAAAGTAAAAGCAACAAATTTATAAATTGATTATTGGAAACTTTACAACACAATTGCATCCCAAATACAAATTGTATTGCTTATTCATTATAGCTTTTAGTCCTGTAAACTTTCTAGGTGAAGCATACTCCAGTGTTTTGGGGGTTTTGAAAATAAATATTTAAATTTCACAGTCCTCAATGTTTGTTTTCCTAGAGTTGGGGGTGTGGTATGGGGCTTCAGTGTTTCAAATTATTTCTCCTTTGTCCTTTATTGTTCAAACATTAAAATCGAAGTTTCTGTTGGAAACCAGAAGATACTCTTCGCATTTCATTAAGCATTAATTATAGCTACAGTGAACATCTGTCCTGATTTCTGGGCCTCCTGTCTTGACCAAATTATTAATAAAGTACCTTTCACTTGAACGTGTCCTGGGTTGAACAATAAATTATATGGTCACCCTAATTATTATTTTATTAAGAGATCATATACAGATATAAACTTAGTGAAGATTTTTTTTTTGAAATTGATAAGAGAAATAGTATTAACATAAAGGAGTTCGAGTTTTTCCTAGAGAAGAGGCTGAGGGTGTACTTAACATGGCATTAAGAATCTATGGTATTAATATGTCTTAATATATTAGTATATTACAATATTTTGATATTATACTATTAAGCCTAGGTGATTGGGTTTCAATATATTCTTCTTATTAGATAGCTACTCTAGACTTGTGAGTTACTCAATATGAGTCCAGAAGCAGACAAAGTGCCAGGATGGAGGAAAGGGGTGGGATGGGGTAGATTAAGAGGGATTTTTCTGATGCGAAGACTAGGAGAGTAAGGAAACGATTCCATCAGTCTTTTCTCCATTAAGTTGTGTATAAAAATAGCTTGCCTAGAGAACTGCATCCTTTCTTTGAGGTTAGTACTAATACTATCTTGTAAATATGTTGGACTTTAAAATCAAAAGCCAAAATGAACATATCAAATAGAATGCTATACCTTCCAGGAGAACCATTAGAGAAATTCTGAACCAATATTCCCTGGCCATACACTTTCACTTGCCTCCCTCCATCTCCTGTCCTGTAACTGTCCCTTTCCTTAGTAATAGGCCAGAATGAATCACTTCTGAAATTGATGAGCACGAAAGGAAGAACATACTTATAATTTATTTTTTAATTACCTGGATTTTCCATCATGCTTTATTACAATAACATTTCCTGGTCTGCATACATGCAAGAAGCTATGACAAAAAATAAATTCTGGCAGGAAATATTAGATAAACAATCTGACCTGTTAATGTTTCTCTTTTACTAGATCTAGTACATAGTTATGAATATAGAGGTTACAACTAAAACATCATGATAGTCTTATCAGGTATATGTGTGGCTTTAGAAATTGATTTAATTCATGAATTTCCTAGGTTTAGAATTCTGCCAAGTCCTAGCTTAATTCTAAATGTGTCTTCTGTTGAGAGGATCTATGCCACCACCTTGTTCCTGAGGCTGTATAAGGGCCATGCTCCCCTCATATATGTTATAAAAATGGAAGTCTTTAACATGTAACAAGACCATTTCTACTGGGCCCCACACAAATAGTAAAGACTGAAATATTCATTCAGTATTGTTTAAGAACACTAAGATCAATACAGTCATAACCTACTAAATCACTAAATGTCATTAGAAGCCAATTTCTTACGCCAAGCCATACTGTTACCATTCTTCAGCATTGAAGAGCCTGGCCTTCACTCACTATCTCTCTGAGGAAATGTGCAGTGGTAATGACAAATACCCACCTCACCTTGCCACAGTACTGGTGATGAGAGGGGATGTTCTAGAGACCCTTCAGAGGTAATGAGTAAAACTCAAGGAATGAGGCAGCAGCTGGATCTTTCATAAAGCAGGTGTCCAAAATGAGATTTCCTTAATAACAATGAATACGTAGTAACCAAGGAAATGGTTTCTACAAGTTTCATTATTTTCTGCCTAAGTTGGTAACACGGAACTGGCTCAGAAATGTCCATAGGATTCACACTTTTAAGCTAAAAAGTAATTACATGGTTTTAGCAAGGTCCTGTCTTCAGGAGTTGCTGTGTTGAAAGAAGCATCTTCATCTTCTTCATCTAACTGTAGACTACCAGAAGACAAGCGGATTCTCGCCATGGGTGACCTTCTTCCTTTGCCATAGAAAGCATAGGAGTCTGGCTTAAGAATCTCTGATTCAGAATCACTGGATTCACTAGCTACATACCTTTCTGCTGTACTCTGATCCCCTAGAACTGCTGGCAACTCCTGCTCTGCAAACACAGAAGTAAACAAGTCTGCTTTACGACTGAGAGCAGGACAAGGCCCTAAAGGTCTAAATTCTGACCCAAAAGGAAAACGAATCGTTTTCATGTCTGATTGGCTCTGGGACCGTTTAGGGGTTTGCTCTTGAATGTTAGATGCAAATACATCTTCCAAATTTGGGTCTTCCTCTTCTAGACCTACATTGATGTTGCTCCTACCGCTTGTCCTGGCTATAGTTTCCTGGAGCCCTTGCAGGTCTTGCTGAAGGCTCTTCATTCTGATATTCCTTGGGCTTCTTTTGGCTGGCTTCATCGCAGTGGGCTCTAGATAGCTATCTGGCCTTGTCCTTTCCTCTGCCCTGACTGGGGACTGTCTGGGCACCTGGGGTGGCTTGTCCACATAAAAAAAGACCTGAGGAGGCATAATACCAACCTGCTGACCTGTACAAGGAATATAGGGCACATCTGTGTAAGTTAGCTGCTGTGCTGGACTCACTTTGCTTGTGAGGCCAGAAGATGTGCTCATGCGATTATCAGCAAACTTACAGCTTGTTCGGAAAGAGCTTAGAGGACTCCTGTCCGAAAAGAAGTCTCTGGGATCAGGGTTAGGATCGGGCACACTGTTAAAGATAGGGTCTGTATAAATAAAAGGGAAAGAGGAACTGCTTTGGGACTGATGTAGCAATGTGGGATCCGCCTCTGGTTTGGAACGCTCCAGCTCAGCTGCAAATGTCACCTCCACCGCAGAGTTCCTCCTCCTACTGTCCAGCACCGGCTCAGATGCGTGCACTCCATTCACATTTTGGTAGTACCCACCGTTATATGCTAGTCTCAAATCTTCCACCTTGAGAGAAAGGACACAATGATGAAAGAAGAAAAAGGCCATTTGGTTGGGGATGGGGGAGGGATCTAAATTAGCCTCAAAGTTTGAAAGGTCATTTATGAATTTCATAAAGTCATTTAACAAGATCTATGTTCTATTCTAGGGTAGACAAATATATAAAGCAAGGGTAATAATTTGTACCACATCCCAGTGCCTGTGTTAAAAAGCACATGTGACACTATTCTTTCTCAGTGCCATCGTACCACCTGACTCAGTGTATACGGTACAAGCAATTTGGTTTAATAGCTCTATTAATGAACCAAGAGTCCTGCCTGTCAGTACTGGCTCTGTCTCTGATATGCTGTGTGACCTTAAACCAGTCTCCTAACCTTACTATTCCAGCCTCCTCCCTATTTTCTGTAAAATGGTGGGAGGAGGGCTATGAGTGGTATAAGAGGTTCATATACTAAATGGCCCCTTTCATCATTACACCTCTGATGCCTTTTGGATAAAAACTGCCAGTGACTTGAAGGCATGAGAGTTTATGAGACCTATAATTCTTTTTTTAGGGAGAGTAAAAGAAAAATACTTCACAATTTTTATACTAAAAATGTCAAAGGAAGCCATCGGCTCACAGTTCCAAGGGAACAACACTTTGTCCTTAAGTTACAAAATTACACAGCAAAAATACTCTAAAACCTTAACCCGAGACCTTATACCTTCCTCTAAGCCTTAAGATTTTCATAGGTAAAAAGATGGAGCTTTCAGCTGTGAAAATTTAAAGCTGTAGAATTCATTTGGATCTTTATTTTACAAGATGTTAGCAACACAGGTTGCAATTTGAAGATGTGCCAGATCCCTCCAGTCTATAAGGTACACCCCAGCGGTAGTTTACTAAATGGTCTTCTATTGGCAGGAAAGACTGAGCTGACAGACCTGTCCAGGAAGCTAAACTACTTGAACAGAATAACCTTTTTACACACTGGGATTCCGGCAGAATCAAGCCTTGGAAGCATTTGAAATTTGCACAAATTACACTTATCTAAAGAAGTAGACATTTTCAGAAACCTTACTTGTTTTGACACATCAGAGAGGAGGTCTGGTGAGGACCTGCACTGTCGTTCATGGTACTGAGATGGGTAATGTTTCCTGAAATCCCCAAGCAGAGAAGTCACTGAAATGGCCTTCATGTGAATACCAGGATACATAGAAATCTCTAAATGTGACATAAAATCAACATGAACGAGGGGAACAAAAACATGTACCTTTCAAATGGCAAGCTCTTCAGCCTCCCTTTTTTCCCATATTCCAAAAGTTGCCTTTGGGTTCTTCCACTATCATAAGGGACAATAAAAATCCTTAGTTCTAGTCATAAACCAATAGGCTACTAAAACTTGAAAGCCTCATTTATTGTTGAAATCAAAATTCATCACTTTGGATGAATGACATATGTCACGAATCTTTGACCATCACATTAATGATAACACCCACTTATTCAAGGACCAGGCAGAGAACAACCTCAACTACTCAGAACGCAGATACTTTTTAAAGACCTCTGAACAGGGTTATATAACAGCTAAAAGTTCTGGGCTTTAAAAATAATATACTTGGTCTGGGCATGATGGCTCACACCTTTATCCCAGCACTTTGGGAGGCTGAGGAAGGAGGATGACTTGAGCCCAGGAGTTTGAGACCATCCTGGGCAACAGTGAGACCTCATTTCTACAAAAATAATAAAAATTACCCGGGCATGGTAGTGCATGCCTGCAGTCTCAACTTCCTGGGAGGCTGAGGTGGGAGGACTGCTTGAGCCCAGGAGGTCGAGGCTGCAGTGAGCCACGATCATACCTCTGCATTCCAGCCTGGGCAACACAGCGAGACTCTGTCTCAGATAATAACAACAATATATTTTCCTTTAAAGGCTTTCCCTCTACCTCTAAATCAGAGTCAACTGACTGATATTCTGTACTACTTTGAATGAGGTTACGTATCTGGTTTCTCAATCCACAGCAGAAGAAAAGCAGCTAACTAAAGAGTTGAAGAGGGCTGTTCCAGTCAGGCATACACTAGCAAAGAAAGATCACAGC